AGTCAATGGTATACGTCGTTTGAGAATTGGTCGATTTAGACAATTTTGGCCGCAGGTGGCATACTTTAATTGCATTATTCACGCAAAGTTTACCCGTATAAATCATTGTTACCTGATTTACATAGTGGAAAGTGAAGGAATCAGATGGAATTGAAAATGGTGTTACATGGGAAGTAGCGTGGTTGTAGTCGATTTCGCCCATTTTCGCATTATGACATAGAAACATGAAACATGAAAAGAACGTTATGCACCGAATTTGGTTGAAATCGGTTGAGCAGATCTCAAGATATGGGTTTCACCTAAAAGTGGGCTGTGCCACGCCACTGCTATTTGAACGCGGTTCCTATAAAGCCAATTTATACATCTCAGAGATAAAATTTAATGTCTCTGGCGTGTTTAGTGCTTGATTTATCGCGCTTTTAGTAGTTTCAACAGTACCATTATATGGGGAGTGGGCGGAGTTGCACCCGATTTCAACTATTTTCACACCGTCAATAGGAGTGCTAAAAACATTTACTTATAGTGAATTTTGTTATTATAGCATTAGCGTTTAGGATATGCGCATTAAACCTATTAGAGGCGGGACCACGCCCTTAAAAAAAAAGTTATAACTGCAAATGCCCTCCTTAATGTGATCCTGTGTACTAAATAACAGTCTTGTATCTTATTGCGGAGCTTAGTTATGGCAAGTTATTTGTTTTGATTAATGGCGTTTTGTGGGCGGGCAGTGGTCCGATTACGCCCATCTGCAAATACCAACCGTCTCACGGCAAAGAACATGTCTACCAAGTTTCATAAAGATATCTAAATTTTTACTCAAGTTAGAGCTTGCACGGACGCAGAGCACGGACGGACGACGGACAGACAGTCACCGGATTTCAACTCGTCTCTTCATCCTGATCATTTATAATATATAACCCTATATCTAACTCGATTAGTTTTAGGTGATAAAACAACCGTTAGGTGAACAAAATTATATACCTCTGAGCAACAGGTTGCGAGAGTATAAAAACAAGTAAGGAAGTTCAAATTCGGGTGTCGCAACTTGCAAAATGACTTCAGTGTTTGCAAATTTTTAAATTAAAGGAAACATTGATCCGATTCAACTATTATCAGAGTTTTATTTATTTATTTATATACAAAATAAAAATTGAACTAGAATATACTATTATTATTATATTTTTTATATCTCTGAAACTGTTGCTAAGAGTATAATAGTTTTGTTCACCTAACGGTTGTTTGTATCACCTGACTAATCAGTATATGATAGGGTTATATATATATAAATGATCAGGATGAGAGACGAGTTGAATCGGGTCTGTCTGTCCGTCCGCGCAAACTGTACTGAGTAAAAATTGAGATATCTTATGAAACTTGGTACAGTAAGACGTTGTGTATTGCAGATGGGCGTAATCGGACCACTGCCACGCCCACAAACGCCATAATCAAAACAAATAACTTGCAACTAAGCTCCGCAATAAGATACAAGACTGTTATTTGGTACACAGGATCACATTAGGAGGTCATCTGCAGTTAAAACTTTTTAAAAGTGAGCGTGGTCCCGCCTCTAATAGGTTTAATGTGCATATCTCCTAAACCGCTAATGCTATAATAACAAAATTCACTATAAGGAAATGTTTTAGCACTCCTATTGACGGTGTGAAAATAGTTGAAATCGGGTGGCAATCCGCCCACTCCCATATAACGGTACTGTTAAATCTACTAAAAGCGCGGATAAATCAAGCACTAAACACGCTAGAGACATTAAATTTTATCTCTGAGATGGTATAAATTGGCTTTATAGGAACCGCGTTCAAAATTAGTCAGTGGGCGTGGCACAGCCCACTTTTAGGTGAAACCCCATATCTTGAGATCTGCTTCTCCGATTTCAACCAAATTCGTGCATAACGTTTTTTTCATGTTTCTATGTCATAGTGCGAAAATGGGCGAAATCGGACTACAACCACGCTTAATTCCCATGTACACCATTTTCAATTCCATCTGATTCTTTCACTTTCCACTATGCAAATCAGGTAACAATGATTATATCGGGGTAAAACTTTGCGTGAATAATGCAATTAAAGTATGCCACCTTGCGGCCAAAATTGTTCAATATCGAACCAAAAC